CCCACGTGTGCACAAGTTCTTGCTATCGCCACTTTTGGCACAGCCGCTGCCGCCATGAGTGTCTGGCCAGTGGCGCATCTCCATGCTTTGTAGCCTCACCATACATGGCTTACAGCGTACTGGCTGTGGTCTCTGGTATGTGGGCTTATCTCACCTGTCTTTGCGAGTTGTGGCTCGCGCTAGAGAGGACGACAATCGACAACGTAGGTGTTGTTGTAGGTGGTACTGGTACATAGCTAGAATTCACTGGCCGAACCAGGGGGCAGCAGGGGTCGTCCCCCCCCACCCCCCCACCCCCAAGCACAGTGATTTTTTTAAATACCTATAGAAAATTCCTCTCAAATGATAGTGAGCTACTTTCCCTTATATGTACACTTTGGAGCCCCAATGGCCATACAAAAGAATTGTATTTCATACATGTACACTTTTCTGTCTCCATTTCTTTTTTTGTTTGGTGACTTTTTCTGTCTCCATTTCTATAACTTCAAAGAAAGACACGTGACTTGATGAAAGATATCGATATAGTTTCTTGTCCACAAGATGAAAAACTATTTCATGTGTGAACTAAATAATACTAAATTTGCCCCTTCACAGATATCTCCTTTTTTTTAAATAGGCTATATTAATATATGTACAGACAATGCCAGTATGTCTGTCCATGCAATTGGTAACCCTGGGGCCTGAAAAATAACATGTGTCTCGCAAAAAAAAAACATGTGAAGTCACTATGACAAATTAATAGCATAATAAGACATATTAAGTAGGTCAAAAACCAACGGACTTGGCAGGAACCTAGAATCTAATTTGCGTAGACATGGAGACAAGGATCTGAAACTAGCTGTTGATTTTGTAAGGATCAATAAACTACCAGGGACAGAAATAATATGATACTTGACCAAATCTCTCTATCAAATCTGAGTTTTTGTGAGCAATCTGCAATGCTGTGCATCCACCAAAGGTTATTGAATCACGGCTGAAAAATGGTTCATAAGTAAATATTAAATAGAGGGTTAGTGGTACTCAGGTAAGCATCAGCAATGGTTTGATGGAGCTTAAATTTTGTGGAAATACAAACTAATCAGTAATCACCTGTTTTTATTTTTATTTTTGAAAGATCCGGTTACCCGGCTTTAATTGATAATAAGAAAGAGTTAGCATACAACAATGGTTACATGCGCGAGAGGCGCTCCCTACCGCAGCCTAGGATGCAGAGGTTTTAGGATATTAGAAACTGATTACTCGCTACCGGTTTGGGCAACTGTTGGGGGCTTTAAAGTTGTCCCCCCTGCTAAGGACTAGCTGCACTTCTTTTGATCTTGATCCTAATCCCAGGCAATCAGATTCCCACCCCTTGTTTCATCTGCCAGTAGGTATATAGAACTATCAATGAAATTTTGTTCCCTTCTTTCCGCATTATTAAGCTCCCTTGGTGCTGGCACTGAGCTAGGCAACATTGAGCAAGCAAACGCTACAGCTTTCTGGCTGCAAAAGCTCACTGGCCCCCCATCTCCACTTCATCGGATTCGTCAACTATCGCCGCTAAGGCCTTCGCTAGCTCCTTGTTGTCCAGGCGTGTTGCTGCCCTGAGTGCCTTGATGGCCTGTTCCGGGAGATCAGCACCATACAAATCAATGTATTCAGTCACTGCTGCATCTGGCGCTGGACGCTGTGGATTAAGGAACTCTAGTTCGCGCATCAGCTTGCGCTGCGCGCGCTCAGCCACCGGCACCGCGCATGGTTTGGCAGCCTGGCGCAAGCTCGAGCGCGTCGCCTGCAATACCTTCCTCTTCCTCAGCTTGCCTGCATGGGGGAGGGTCGCTCGGGGTGGGAGACACTGGTGTCGGGAGCAAGGGTGCCAGGAGCTCTTTGAACAATCGGCTACAAAACTCAACAGCAGCCTGTCCATCCGCTTGCTGGTCATCAGCATCAGCAGGCAGCCCACCATCCTGTTGTGCACTTTCCTCCTCATAGCGGTCCTACCCCAGCCGCAGATCCTCAAAACCATGCTCCACATAGGCCTCCTCCGATGCTTTGGTCGATCTGTCCTGGGACTTCCCTGACATCTGAGGCTGGACACCTGGCCCAGGGGAGACGGGATCATCAACGCCGGAGTCGGGGGAGTAGCGACGAACGACTGCTGGCTCCGCGAGGAGGGAGGGCTCCAGGAACATCGGGTCGTCGTACCTGAGAGGAGGGCTCCTTGGGATTGAGGACCAGCAGCCGTGGTCAGTCAGCGGGTCTGGACTCACCGAGAAGTGAGGGGTGCTGCGCAATGGTGACCACGAACGACGTCGTTCGTTGCGTCGTCGCGGTCCCTCAAAGTCGTCATCCTGGTCACGCTCGTAGCGCAGCAAGGGTGTCGCTGGTGCTTGGCATCGGCCGCACCAGGGAACGATGGCGACACGGCCCAACGTTGGGCGGTTGGCAACCTGGCCGGGCACGTACTCTGTTTCCCCAGCTTTTGGTGGTGGGTGTGTTGAGTTGTTTGGAGTGTTATGAGATGGTGGTGTGATGGGATGGTTGGCAGAGCAGAGCCGTGGGAAAACACAGCGGCTGTGGATGCTACCGGCCGGGAAGATGAGCCGGGAGCGGAGCTTGGCTGAGATGGGTTGTCACCGGACGGAGCGACAGTAGCGGGAGATGTGGCCAAAGCCCTTGCACCTGAGGCAGCGAACAGGGTCCCTGCATTGTGCAACTTGGTGGTCGATGCCGAGGCACTGGAAGCAGCGCCCCGCGAGGTGCTTTTTAAAAAACTCCCGGCCGTCCATGGCGTGCCCTCGGGCGGCGTCCTGCGTAGCTCGTCTAGTCTTGCCGGAGCCATCCTCCTGTAGAGATCCGCCATTGCGCCACCATTACTTCTTCCTTGCTGTTTGCCATCTCGGCGAAGGCGGAGGCTCCAGCTGAGCATTAGCTCCTGAACACTCCCCGAGCTCCCAGCAGCTGGAAGGCGGAGAGCTGACCAGCTGCTTGGAACCTTGATTCTTCTGCTCCGGCAGCCACGCAGCGGAGTCTTCGGTCAGCTTCAGCCTCCTCCACACCGTCTTGCGATGGCCAGCGATCGCGGCAGGGGGCATCGCCACGCGCGTTGGCCTGACTATAATGGATTTCAGCCTGGCTGGCGCCAGACCTCTAGAAGGCGCACACGGGACATGCAACACAACCCCAACACAAATTGTACAAATAAAGGACTATCTCCCATAAATCCCCAATCACAGGATGAAATTAAACAAAATGGAGATGTGTCCGGATTAGAACTTGATTAGAACTAGAGTGGAAGAGAGGTTCAGAGGATTCAGCACGAACAAACGGTAAAGTTCAGAACAGAGAAGGGTAAAGTTCAGAACAGAGAATGGGAATCTATTACTATTCTCATTCATAACAATCTTCAGACCACTTACCCTGACGGTATTTATACCACTCATAATGAAAATTCTAAGCTCTCCACTCACCCTGACGGTATTTATACCATTCATAACGAAAATTCTAAGCTCTCTACCAGGCTGGAGGGCAATTTTCGTCTTGCTCTCTGCCAGGCCGGCGACTAATTTTTCATCTAGAATCTCTACAGCATCCATGCAATTAATATTGTTATATTACACGTTCCCTAAAATAGAACAAATTAATTTAATATCTTGTTAAAAGAATGTCAGGAAATTATTAACCTCCGCAATGAATTAGTATATTTGATAACATCCCCTAAAAAACAGAAGGAAATTTACCACAGGTAGGAAAAAAAGCTGTGGAAACCTTTCACCAAAAATAGATCAAGCAAGCAGCGTTGCATTTCACCGGAACACACAGGCTCTCCCAAAGAAGCGCACGAAGCCTAGCCTTGTGCATTCCTACATGAAGGACACCAAGAAAATGGATGCACTTGTGCTGCTTTCGCTGCTTCTGCTTGGATTATTTGCAGATCATGCACAATGTAAGTAAGTTATATGATTATTTCCTATGTCTCACCCCGAATTTTCAATACAGTATGTTTGCAATGCTTTGCTTGTATAGATACATGTTTCCCTTCATCTGATCCTTCCATAAGGCCTTGTTTGGACGTTGTTGGATTCACTTCAATCCACGTGTGTTGGGGTGGATTATGGTGAAATTTAGTTCAAGCTCCACTACATAATAAATCATATTGAATCGATTGGTCTAATATTATTGCGCCCTATTATTGTATAGCCATTTGTTTGTAGTTATATCTGTAAATTGGTGTTTTCGCTTGTTTACATTTGACATACAGGCTGAGTCATGGATGCACTCGGTGTTGAGAAACTTAAAGGACTTGAACCAGGATGCCATTTCGAAAGGAAGGGGGCCCACTGGAAGCGCGTGCTGGTGCTGTTGGGGGTACCATGGTGGTTGTGGAAATACAGAGGCGGAATGCAAGGGGATATGCCATGCTTGAAAATGCATCAACTTTTATGTCACTACGGCAATGAGTAATACTTCATGATGATGAAAACTATTTGTCACTTTCAGTTCATCAACACCTCTCATATCAACCGTGTAATGCATGGTGATAACATTAGAAAATTCTGGATTCTTTCCCTGTTTGAAATTTGTGCCTTATGTGCTCTCCAGGTTCTTTGGTTTTTTTTTTCATCTCTATTTTTTAACGGGTGTCCATTCTATTTTCTTATCCTCTTCGATCGCTTAGCAAGACCACACAAAAAATGCTGAACCTATTGGAAAAAAGAAATCCATGACCCCCAAGGTTTGCTGCTTTCAACTGAAGACAAAGCAGTGAGTACATTCCACTTGGGCGTACCCAGTGTAAAGAGCCCCGATCTGTGCGGAGTCTGGGGAAGGGTGTCAGTGGCAAGCTTTACCCTCGCCTGTCCAATGCGAGGAGACCGCGACTCGAACCCGGGACCTTCCGGTCACAGGCGGTAAGACTCTACCGCTTGCATCAGGCCCGCCCTACAGTACATTCCACTTGATGCTACTTATTACCAGCCTACAACCAATCTTAATAGACTAGAAAACCAGGATTATTGCCATCAACTTTTGTTCAAACCCTTTGTCCGCTCAATGGCTCCATTAGCATCATCCTTATTCCCAACAAAACTACATCCATTTCCCTGCTCGCTACAACCTGATGTTATCGTGTTGTCGACAGGAAGAGGACAACTGAAAACTCTGTCATTTGCTTTCAATACCTAGAAACACAACAAGCAACGTTGAGACATATGAAAAAAAGAACCTGAATTAAATGCACTCAAGCTCTAACATCAGCTTACTTCTTTGTTCCAGTTGGTGTATAAGGTGATGCAAAGAAGCAAGATCATCTGCACTGCTACTCCGACCAAGATCCCAAACCAAAGACCCTGTTCAATACAAACAGGAACTTTCTTTTAGATTTTTTTTTAACTATGAAACTGACAAGAAATAAATTAACTTGTTCCAAAAGAGATTCATGAGAAGGCATAGTACCATTCCACCAAGATGACAAACAAAGGCGAAAATGGACGCCACAGGGATGCCGACAATATAGAATGCAGCAAGGTTGATAAAGGCACCAATCTTTTGTCGGCCACAACCCCTAACAACACCTTCACCAAGTATGAAGGATATGTAAATTACAAATGCAACGACTCCTAAAAACAACTAACATGTCGTGTTTTACTTGTGCAGAGTGCAATTTATTACTAACAGAAAAATGAAGAATACTAATGAAAGCTGTTTATATTGCCCATCAATGTAGGAAAATAGCAACAGCCTCTCCAAAAATGTGGAATATCTTGATTATCAGAGCTCTTAGAGTATCTTATAGGACGAATCCAGAAAAAAAAATTCTGCTAGGCAATATGCTAATTTTGTGAGGTGGTTATCGAAAATGTTCTAGAAGGTCAGGAGCTGAAAAAACAGCTTCTCCTGATTTGCTTTGTGGACAAAATCACTTCCTTCACAGAAATTGTCCTACAGAATCACTTTTTACCTTAGACTCACTTCCCATAGAGATGTTGAATTTGTTGTGTTGAAGAATGTGCAATAATATTGTTTCATAAAAATATAGAGTGTTTAAAATTAGATTACCAATAATGATATGAAATAATATTTTAGTTAAAATATATAAACTTATTCTGGAAGAATAACTTATAAAATTTATTAATATAGAGTATTAATATAATGAAAGTGAACTATCAGTTTCACTGGCAAGTGGTTTCATAAGGAAACAATTTTTCACGCGTGATGAATGTTTTGTATGTTACTTGGCCTACATGGTATCATGTAGTATTATGAGAGTGGTACATGTGTGCAACTTAGAAACGTATATAGCATACTTTATGATTACCGAATTAGTTTCCATAACATATAGCTCATATTAGAAACATATATAGCTTAATATAATGAAAGTGAACTATCAGTATGCAGGTGGTTTTGTAAGGAAACAATTTTTCACGCTTGATGAATGTATGCATGTTTACTTGGTCTACCTGGTGTCGTGTGTAGTATTATGCTAGAGTAGTATATGTGTGCAATTTAGAAACATATATAGCATACTTTGTGGTTGTTGAATTAGTTTCCATAATATATTGCTTATATTAATATAGATTAATATAGATATAAATCAAAATGGTTATTTTGTACTATTCATAATGGCAAAACAGGGTAAGTTAGATGCAAACTTAGGAGCTACTCTGCATTATATTTGTAATGGTAGAAGTGAATAATCCAGATAAAATTTTAGGGTTTTATTTTAAATTATCTTTTACAATGGTAGATGTGGATAGTTTAGATACAAGAGATTATTTGGAATTATCTTCTACAATAGAAAAGGTGGGTACCTTAGATGCAAATTTAGAGGTTGCTTCATGTGTTTTTTTCATAGCTATTATTGGCGATGACGACTAAATCTATCATGTTAGATGTCAGATGTTTGGAATTTTTAGAATTTATCTTTTTTTCGTCCACTTTTCATAAGAACTAATTAATATGGAGGTTTATTTGGGGTCTGTATGTAATTACTAACAGTAATAATATGGGTGGTATACCTTATCACTTGTGACGTACCTGACAGGACGCACTGGAGGCAGTCCAATAAGGTGCAGGCCGCGAGAATGGGCATCAATCTAGCGGTGTACATAGCCACTTCCATGTCGTTGGTGTAGGCGTAGCCGAGCAGACTGCGCGCCAGCACCATGACGAGACCTTCCGATACGCCCAGGGAGAACGCCAAGAGCATGACCACCCGAGTCGCCAGGCGGGCCGCCTGTGGCTGCCCTGCACCAAGCTCGTTTGAAACGCGTATGCTGCCCAGAAATATAATTAAACATGGGGAGAAAGTGTTTAATTTCTTATTACAGATTGTTATTAGTAATTAGCAGCATACTGAATAGTAGTATGTACTACTGCACAATATTTTCTCAATATTTCTTACAATGGTATGTACTAATACAGTACTAACCTTGCTGCAGCACTAAGTCCCATTGGGAACATGAATGCGAAAACGTAAGTGTTGAAGCTACAAGAATCACAAAATTAGCAAGCCCGGGGTAAGAGAGTATGAGTGTCTGCGTTATACTCTGTAATCGCAAAAAAATAAATAAAAGAGAGAGTACTGAATAATGCAAGTAGTTTATTTCAGTGGAGATTGAGCTAAGCTTTCACCACACCAGATAGACATCACAGCGGTCTCAAGCTTGGGGTTAGGGAGAAGGCCAGAAAGCAGAACCAGGAGCTCGAAGGACCACCACTCCATACTGCAAATTAAGACGGGAACTCATCATCGACCTCAAGGCACACAACGTACAAATACAATGGAATGGGATAATGGACCCTCACCAGACCATGGCAGCCGAAGGCACGGCGAGCTTCAAGAAGCCGAGGATGCCATGGAACGCCTGGAGGGAGAACCCCGGCCAGGTGGCCTTGCAGGACGGCGAGAGCCTGATGTAGATCGCCAGCGCAGAGAGATTGACAAGGTTGGAGACGGCGTTGGCCAGCGCCGCGCCGTCGGCTCCCAGGCGGAGCCTGCGCACCAGCAGCCAGCAGGCGGCCACGTGCACGGCGACGGTGGCGCCGGAGCTGAGCATGACGGGCACCACCACGTTCTGCGGCTGCAGGAACCGGGCGTGGCACTGCAGCTGCCCGAACAGGAACAGCGCCGGGATCATGCACCGGATGTAGCTCCCGGCGCCCGCCGCGATCTCACGGTCCTGTCGGAACCACACCAGGATGTCGCCCGTGTAGGCCCACACCAGGGACACCGGGACGCTCGCCGCGGCGAGCACCAGCATCGCGCGCTGCTTGTAGATGCCTAGCAGGTGGTGCTGCCCCGCGCCGAACGCCTGCCCGCACAGCGTGTCCAGGCTGCTCGCCATGCCTGTCTGGTCTGCCAAGAACGGTGGTCACGCCACGCCACGCCGTGCAAATCAAAAGCAGAGATGCCTACCAGCAAGCTGAAGCCGGTGACGCTGGCGAAGGAGGTGGCCAGGGAGGCGCTGGCGAGAGGGAGCTCGCCGAGGCGGCCGACGAACATGATGGAGATCGTCTGGATCACCTTCTGCAGGAGGAACCCCGCGGCGAGCGGCGCGGCCAGGCGCAGCTGCTTCTTGCTCTCGCTCCACACCTCGCCACCTCGTACAACCGCCGCCGCGTGATGTTGTCGTTGATTCTCCTCCATGGTCGAGCGAGCTGGACCTCACTGGGTCAATTCAATGTGTGTGGGCGTTGGTGATCGATCGAAATGGATGGAGGACAAGAACAAGAGTCGTCATCAGGCTTGGCTTGGATTCCTCTCTTGGAAGATGGAAGCTGGAAGTCAAAGCTGCCGCCAACGGAAAAGACAAAAGGGAGGATGATTGACTTGTGGACTACTCGCAACGAAGTTTGGGTGGCTTGTCACATCGCGTGTCAGCGTGAGTTTAACCAGACACACTGATACCAGGTTGGACTACTCGCAACGAAATGTAGCACTGTACCAGGTTTCTTCGCCCCGTTCATTCGGGCTTCAGCTGTATCGTTGACTGATTTAGGGTTTCGAGAAAAATATTGTTTGCTGATTAAAATAATATGTCTTATAAGTTAAAGAAGACCAATCGAATAAGGTGCTTATCAGAAGTTGAGAAGAGAACAAACATGACAAGTCGCGACATGCTGACAAAACCAAACTCCTTTCTAGATGTCTTCATTATAAACAAAAAATATCAGCCGGCGGTAGCGGTACCCAGCCGGTGGACCTCTAAAGTTATACAGTACATCCGAGCAGACCAGTTTATCATTAAAAACATTGAATTTCTTTTATCCAAATGCGCGACGACGTTCTCCTGCTGCACGGCTGCACCAACCGCGCGCAAACGATGTCGTCGTCCTTCCCAAGGGCTATGCTTGCCAGCAAGCTTGAAGAGCTGGCGAGAGGGAGGTCGCGAAATAAAGTGGCCTGTCGCAGCTGCTTCTTGACCTCACACTTCTCCCTAGGCCTTTTAGTCGGCGAAATATTTTTAGAAAATGATACCGTAGCATTTTCATTGTTATTTGGTAATTAGTGTCCAATCATAATCTAATTAGGTTTAAAAGATTTGTCTCATGAATTTCGTCTAAACTGTATAATTAGTTTTATTTTTTATTTATATTTAATGTTTCATGCATGCGTCAAAGATTCGATGTGACAAAAAATCTTAAAATTTTATACAAAATTTTAGGAACTAAACCGGCACCTAGTGTCCATAGCCTCACGTGAAGTGAGAAAACGAGAAGACCGCGTGCAACGGCCATCTAGGTAGACCTCAATGTGTTCAAACCAGCACATGTTTTCTATGGGTAGGCATGGAGGAATCCATGACATCCTGACAAAAACCAAACACCTAAACTGTTTTGTACGGAGTACGTGTCAAATTTGAACTGTGAAGGCGCACGTGCAGAGGATATATATAAATATATCAGCCGGCCTTATCGGCTTGGAATTGTACAAATATACCAGTCCGCGAAGTTGCACGTTCGACGTTTTTCTCCCAAACATTGTCTACAGACGCCTCGTTATTGATAGGACATTGTCGCTCTATGTTCAATTTTATATCTCACATTCCTCTCAAAGCTTAATTAGGAGCAGACTCTTTACTTTGATATGATGACAAGATTATACAAGGTGCGATGGCATTTGGAATTTCTGTTGGTATAAAACATTTTATACAACAGAAATCTGAGAATGAACAAGTTGCCATGACAAAATCTGCTCTTATGATTATCTTTTTTTTTGTGAAAGTTTATGCTCTCATCCGAAGAATTATAATTAATATTTTTTAAAATTCTCAAGAACAAAGTTCCACATTGCACATTTTGGATGATTAGATAAGATAGTGTTGGGAACATAGAAATTCTTTTTCTAAAAGTAATTTGATTAGGGTCAAAGGAAACTAGGATCTCGTTTGGTGCGGATCCTGTTGGCTTGTGTAGCTACACCTAGCAAGGATCAGTCCAAGCTACTTTCACGGGCTTCACCTACTACGGGTTCATTTTGCCCTAGAGAGATGATAAAGAAATCCGTGCTACAGTGTCACTATAGTGCAGAACAGTGTTTGTTGGCTGTAGCGAGGAACCGACCGAAGCTATACGAAAGATCCCATAGATAAGCGAGTGTTACTTAGGGAGTGTTCGCAGGGTTCTATATTTTGTAGAAACGTTTTAGATTCAGATTCTTTTCATAAACGTTTATGTGATGAATCAACATCACTTCATGGAACCAGTTGACGGCGAATCGGGTCACACATCAGCAATGGCTAGCACGCCCGAGGTCGCACACGACCTAGCATGCATGAAGCAAGAATGTGGTAAAACCAGCGAGACCAGCCAGCAAGCCTATCAAACTGATTCGTCACTTGTTCTTCACCTGATAGACTCCTAGACACATGTCGGGAAGACCCGTTAGGGAGGGGCACAACAAGGTTGCTTTAAGATCAGCAAACCCATCTAGAACGCTACCGTTGTGGGGTCGGAACCGCGATCAAGCACTGTTGTTCGAGTCGGTGTCAGAGTACATGTCTCCGGTGGCTCGGGTGGACTCAACAACACAAGAATCACAGAGAGGACGCAACGGTTTATCCTGGTTCGGGCCGATCGATGCCCTACGTCCAACAAGCTGATGATCCTTATACTCAAGGGCACCCAAAATCGGGGGGTACAACAGAGTGTACAGGAGGAGAGAGATTTGGTAGGGGGTTAGCTCGGTACTAATCCTGAGGTTGCCTCGCTGCCTGTGGAGCCTTCCCCTCGTTGGAGAGGAGGAAGACGATGGGTGTGGTAGATGAGCTCTCGGTGCCCCTCTCTGGGCTGCTCTGCTCTCGGTGCTGAGCGGGAGCGAATCGATGAGGAATGGAATGATCTGTTTGGGATCGTCCTCCCCCCTCTAGGATCCGACCTTACCCCTTATATATCGAGATAGGTCGGGTACATGGCGGTTTGGGGGTTGAGCCTATGGTCTACATACGCTGGAGTCCAAGAGAGTCTTGTAGCGGCGCTCTATGGACCATGGCGATGTCGTGGAACTAAAGAAGCCTTGGGCATCGTCCGGCTAGCCTATTCTAACACACTAAGTGTCAGGCTGTGTCGGCTTGGACCAGCCTCCCCTAGGCGCACCTTCTGGAGTCTTCTTGGTGGCGAGGGAGGTCGGCTCGAGGGGCTAACGCACAGACCCGAAAGCCCCCGAGTCCCCAGAGGCCGAGGGGAGCTTGTCTTCTCGTGCAAGACCGTGCCCAAAGTGCTGCGTTGAGGAGCCCTCGAGCCTCGATGGCTTGGGGTGTGTCTTCTTGTGCCTAGGCCTTGGCTGGCGTCTGTAGGCCGAGCAGGAGCCGAGGATCGGGCTCAGGTTTCCCGTCGATCGGGAGCCTAAGGCCCGGGCGAGCCCCGAGCCCTGAGCGGAGGCGTTCGCGTGCTTGGGGTCAGGCAGGTTCCTTAGTCCGACGGTGCGCGTGAGCGTACCCGATGGATATAGCCCCCAAGCCCCTAGGCGGTCCTGGAGGGATCGGCCCTGGGATCTCTTTGATCGGGAACTATAGATCTCGAGGCTTAACATACCCGTATGTTAGGATCTCGTCAGGAGCCCTCGAGCCCTTCATGGCCTCACTTATTCGTGATGACGACGAAGGGCTGAATTCGATCTTTTGGTGACCGAACTAGCCATGGCGGGAATGGCTTCCGCTGACGGGAGTGCGATGCCCTGCGTGGGGCTCTTTCCCTAGTGCGATGGGGTTGCTCGGCTGTCGAGGCTGGGCGTTAGTGGTTGTTGACATTTCTTAGCATCGCTACCAGGTTTTGTATCCCCGGCAACGGCGCCAGAAATGCTTGTTGATATTTCTTATGCTCAAGTAGATAATTCTGCAAGCGTACAGAATATCATTGTAGCATTTCACCTGGGAGTATTCTAAGGTATTGTTATTTCTATTTTACCACAGGGGGAGGCAATGGTTAAAGATGGTGATAGTTAACCATCACGTATCTACTAACTAGTATACCGACTAGACTAAAGTGGGGGTGAGTGATGTACAATAAAGTGGGGTGACACACAAAGATCCAATCATGAAAAAGGTAAATTGGAAACATAACTAAATACGAGGATGACTAATGAAGGAACACAAGAATCCTAAGTTACTTCTATTCAAGCACTACTCTAGCTAGTGATTGTGGCTATACTGATAAACCAAGATAATGCAAGGTAGGATGCAATAACATTTTGGACGTACCCACCCCAAACTCAGCCAGAGAGTTGATTGGGCACAAAGCACCTCTGCCCTATGATTTAACAACTAGATCTATCGTGGGGGAATACATATGATGGACAGGGCTGTCACCACCTGCCAACTACCCCAATCCATCCGGAGACCTAGCCACGTTGGAAGGTACCCGATAGTATAAGCACCACGCTTACACTATTTGATACTACCCTAGCCTCACATTAAGACTAAAGCATCAACTACTGACGAACAACCCATGCTACTGAGAGCCCAATTATCATTAGAATTATAAGCATAACCAAAGTATAACTAGAGAACAAGACTAGTACATAAAGTAAAAGACTTGAAATAATACTTGCATAGAAAGTAACATACTAATAAATAAAGTATTTACAAAAGAGAGACAAAGCTATACCAGACTCCTGAAGACCACTCCAGGGCTCCCACCAAGACTAGCTACTACTAGAAGAGCTACATCTTGAGAGAGTAGAGAGAGCTACATCTCTTGTGTAGTGTAGGTGTGTGTTACAAGTGAGGGGTGAGGGTCCAATTTATAGTGCTAGGTAGAGTAGGGGGCTACTCCATCACCACGTCAGTGATCCACGTGACATCCTCTCCTTGCCCTTGGATCAAACTGCATTGAAACCGACTTAACC